ACTTATAAACTAAACTGTGTTTCGTTGGAATCGGTATCTTTAATCAGGGATCTAGGATTGTATTTAGACTCTAAACTACACTTTCATGAACACTTAACGCACATAACCAATAAAGCCTTTCAGCTTTATGGTTTTGTTATGCGGAAATGTTCTTCCTTCAAACATCCCACCACATTTTTAACTTTATATAAATCTCTAATAAGATCACAGGTTGAATATGCATCAGTTATATGGAGTCCAATATATAGTAAATATAGTTTACAGTTGGAGCGTGTTCAACGAAAATTTTTAAAATCTACAATGTACAAATGCTTTAAAAGTAATTATAATGAATGTTATGAACTTTTATTAAGAAAATTTAATGTTCTTTCTTTAGAATCGAGAAGGATGCTCTTGGATCAAACTTTGCTTTACAAAATCTGCCATAACGAATTTGATTGTAATGAACTCACCAATCAAATATACATTCGTATACCTAGTCGCTCGAATCGTATACGTGAGCTACATTCACATCAAATTTTCGCTCCAAAACCAAGTAAAACAAATGCAGGTGCACGTGCACCTCTAAATCGTATAATGGAATTATACAACAACAAATTTAATGACATAGATATCTTTGGATTAACTTCTTCTAGATATAAAAAAGCTGTGTATGAGGTACTAATCTGAATTTGATGCAAGTTAATGTAATTGCTTAATTAGGTTAAATTTAATTTTTCACATCTGTGTATTATCTATATATGTGTATGTGCGTGTATGAATATGTTTGTATATATGTGTGTATGTATATGCGTGCACATGTACATGCATATGTGTAAATTAGCTTGTTTTTCTCTTTGAATAAAACTATTATTTACGGATTTTATCGCGTTTAATTACTTTAATTTATTTTTATTATTTTATTATCCCGACGTTTCGGGTGCTTTACAGCGCCCATGGTAACGGGGGGGACTGAGATGTTTGACGTCCCAATGTCATAGTTAGTCCGACTACCTTCAGTTTTTTAATATTAATTTTTGGTCCGATTTATTTAATATCAAAAAACTGAAGGTATAATATTAAAAAACTGAAGGTAGCCGGACTAACTATGACATTGGGACGTCAAACATCTCAGTCCCCCCCCGTGACCATGGGCGCTGTAAAGCACCCGAAACGTCGGGATAATAATAAAAATAAATTAAAGTAATTAAACGCGATAAAATCCGTAAATAATAGTTTTATTCAATGTGTAGTGTTCGCGTAAATTTAAGAAATCATTATTGTTTTTCTCTGTATTTATTGGAGAACGGGTCGTTTTTAATAGAACATTATATTTTAATTTTTAATTGTTACGTACATACACCCAGTGGTAATATGTGGATAAAGGTGTTGATTGTATGATTATTAAGCTTAAATATAGTATTGTGTTTAATAATAAGATTATATTGTACAATTGTTTGTTATTCCTAATAAAGAGAAAAAAAAACACACTATGGCTCGCACAGGTGCCTGCGATTTGCTACGACGGGTGGGGACTGCTCTCCCTCCGCACCTACAGCTTTACAAAAACACTTTAGGCGTGGGGCAGACAAGGCTACGTGGATTCGGGGCGTGCTGATTTAATTTTAGTACAGATTCGATCAGATCAGATATCTATAGTCAGGTTGCCTTTGCTCCCGCCACAGACACAAAATTCTGTATGCTATTTAGCTTTCACAGTAATATCGTATAATTTTTTCTCAGAAAGTCTACCCAGAGCCGTAAATTCAGTTAATAATAAAAATGTATCACCTCATACTTTACATATTTAAGGTTATAATAGTTTTTATTTATTTTTTCGATAACGGTGCATTACCTTTTAATGTGAGTGGTATTATTATAATCAGGGACGAAACCTCTACCAAATAAAACACCTTACTTCCCCAAATTCCTGCCAACGATTCTAAATCCAACCCAAGAATTGGCATTGGACAGGTACTTATTGAACACCAAGTCTGTGGCATTTCTTAAGAGAGTCATCTGTAATATGAGTTAGGGGTTGGGTTTACAATTCGGTCGCCTGAATTTGAAGATTCTGTCACTGTGGGGGAGTCAAGGGGGGTTTATCTGAAGCACCCCCACTCGATTTTTTCTGCCGGAGCAGCGTCGAAGTATTTTTAATTTTTTTTAATGTTGGTAAATGTCTAATTAATTACGTATTTGACGTTTCATCTGTCAATGTCATGTCGATATATAGTACTGAATCGATCTAGTGAATCGATATTTTACCCTAGAGAATCGAGATCGAATCTTTTTCTGTTTTATTAAGATTTGTAAAATTATTTACAATTAATTGAATGTAACCCAACTCGTAAAGAATGACAGTTTTTAATTCAATCATTCAATGTTGGCTTCTGTATGTACCACCAGTAATAATATATCCCAGATATATTTTATAGACACGTTTCACGTTTTAATGACGCTGCTGTTGCCATTTACGAAACCACGGGACGAAATGGAATGATGGATGCACTTACGCCGCCAACTCAAAACAGCAGTCTCGAGGGAAGCCAGCCAACAAAGTTAATAAATGTTGGTATTCAACTTGTCCGTTGACGGTGCTGCACATATGATGCAACTTTATTCCACGTTTTTATAACTTACGTAGATACATTTGTAATATTTATAAAATTCGACGACTCCGTGGCGCAGTGGTTTAGCAATGAGTTGCACCATTAAAGACCGCTGGTTCGAATCCCGCACGGAGCAAGTATTTTGTATTGTTTACAAATAATTGTTCCCGGTTTGGTTATGTATTTAAACCACCCGCGATACAGGAGAAAATTCTAGTGTGGAGGTAACATTTAAAAAAAAAGAAAAGAACTAAGGCATAATATAACTAAGACATAATACTTATATAGTTAGATATTAAACGGAATAATTAAAACGATATAAATAATTCTTCAACTTCTTAATCTAAATATGTAACTCAAAATGTGACGTCAATTTAAAATCTAGGTATTATGCACTTATTAAATTAATGTAGATATTAATAAAAATATTGTGTCAAATGTATATACAGAGGTCAGTGATGGAATCACTTCTGTAATTTCATTGTCATCTAAAACACAGCCAATATAATATAAAACTATGCCTAATAGAACTAATACAAATCACTATGTCCGCAGAACCTGAATATAGAACTAAGATTTACTGCATTCTGATTTCTGTATTCCGTTCCACTGTTAAGTAACTACGTTACTATAATATAGTGTTAAAATATATTATAAAAATAAATTACAATAAATATCACAATAACGAACGACAAAGAGGTAATTCGTTAAATTGTCCCAAACATTTTATCTTTCGGCATTTAAATTAGTAAATTACGCAATGACGAACATTCAAACAGGTATGTATTAATATCAATTATTATTATTATATCTAGTGTTAACATTAATTAAAAATATAGAACATTTATGTAATTAGGATTTTTAAGACAAATGTTATCGTGTTATAAGGTGGGTGGACGATGGAAGGCCGTGCTCCTTCGAAGGGCAATTATTAAAATGTCGTAGTTATTGCCATGTGATGACAAATTCCTTCTACTTACACAAACACCCGTCGAACTGAAAATCACAGGCGAATCGCTCGCGCTACTATTTTGACAGTACGGTCCTTCGCTTCATTGAATTCGGGAATCGACGACGTTAAAATATGGTGGGTATACCATGGGCCTTCCACATGGTACACCCACCTTATTTTAACGTAACTCTAACAAATAAACAATTATTATTCGTTTATTTACTGGATAAATGAAATTAACAAATATTTAAGTAAAACTTTGTCGCTATTTATTAAACTTTAGTGTTAAATGATTGATTTATTATAATGGCCTTCTAAGAAGCCCTGTTCCTAGCGGGATAGCATTTGGAAGAGTTCAATGAAACTTAAGTTCAATCAATATTGATTAAATCTGCAATTTAAAAGAGTGGTTTGTTCGAGTATGTTACGTAATAAAACAAAGTAATAGTAAAGTTGTAGTCCTGATATTTATAGTACTTTTTCATAAGAACCTGTTCATTTACTCATGTGAGCTATGTAACCGGGGCTGTCACAAAAAATTTAATAGTTATGTCCGAAAATGTGAAAACTATCTTAATATAACTTTTATAATGGCAAATGAGGCATAGAGTCACTACTTTTTGTATTTTACGTTAGATGGCGCTGTCTTAAAAAGTGAATACATCAATAATATCGTAGATTGTCGGCGTAGTTCAATTTATTACACAACGGTTCAAACTAATTTTGGGCTTTATTTATGAATATTTTATTTGTTTTAATAAAACACATCAATCGTATAAAATAGAAATTAACATCCAGAGGTAGGAAAATACTTAACCCTCCTGTTTTGAAGTTCCGTAATCGGATAAAAATTATCCTATAAGTAGCCCCGGGTCCATATCTACCTATACACAAAATTTCATGGAAATCTGACAAAAAGAGACAAAAATTGTAAAAACTAGTAATTTGGCTTCAATTGCCCTTTATTTAGTCAATTTATTATATGTATAGATAACCCCTGGGAATGAGATGATCGCTACCAAGCTATTGTTAATTTATTTTATGCTGTTAATTGTGTAACATAGATTATTGTACGCTGTTATTTTTTTTTAAAGATTTCCCGGCTTGTTTCTTGCTGATTCTTCCCCGGACAGAGGATTTTTCCGAACCAGTGGTAAATTAAACAAAAGAGTGACTCAATAAGTATTATTTATAATCCATATTGAATAAAAACGTTTCTGTTTTTGTTTCCTCTTTACCGGTAAAAGGGTCTCCGTTCTCTACACTCATTACACACAACATTACGCTGCTATTTTACACTGGTATTTTGTGAAGGCGTGATCCTTTCCTCGTCGAGCTGACACATTTGTGCTACAACTATAATAAAGCTGCAGCGTGGCCCTATGGTGTAAAAATGGTGACAGGTTCTATTTATAAAATGTTTCTATCAAACATTATTAAATTATCTATTATATCAATTAAATAACTGGACTGCTACACCGTCTGTCCTTATTCAAGTACTTCAGAGATGTAAGCGATTGAGTGGATTTCAGTTCTTCTGGGGACATCGGTCTACCTCGAAACTCGTCTTCAATCTCTTGCAGCGTCCTGTCTTTAGTCTCTGGCAGGAACCACCAGGATATAGCCAAACAATAAGCTACAACAGCTGCATAAATTAAGTACGCACCATGGATGCCAAAGTTTTTAAATAGATACGGCACAGTTTTCACAGTTATAAACAAGTTGGACGACAGGAATAGAACGCTGAAGCCGCCAGCTAGACTTCTATATTCCAGCGGGAACACTTCCCCTGCAATTATAAACGGCAGTGGAACGGTTCCCGTCGCGATTGAGAACATGTGAATGTGGATCAACGCTATTCCAATGAAGGGATGATCGAAGGGCAGCATGTTCTGACCCTTAGCGTAAGTGTAACCAGCTGTAGATACGAACGCCAACAGATTTATTCCAACAGTTATAAATAACATAGTTCTTCGCTTCACCTTTTTTATCACGTACACAGCAATACTGTTGGAGATGATCCGCTGAGCGTCGAGCGTTATCACCATGAGAGAGATATTCGCTTCATTACCAATCACATTAGTGAAGATATCGATGGTGTATGCAGCTAGAATGTTAGCTCCCGCCCACTGGCCAAGAGTGTAAATATGGATCATGATGAATATAGGTTTGTAGAACTCTCGCTTCTTAATTGTAGTCTTGATATACGCCAACTGTGCTTTCAGCCTCTTAGAAAAGGACTGGGAAATATTTGCATCGGTTTTCGATTCTCTTACCACCATGCTTGTTTCAATCATCCTGTGCAGTTCTTCTTCCTCCCCTTCTCCTCTTAGCCATCTGAAGACCTTTTCACTGTCCTCATATCGCCCTTGGTCCGCTAACCAACTCGGCGATTCAGGTGAATACAAAACTATAAGAAAGTCCACAAAAGTTATGCAGGCGATGACTAGTGCAGCGGTCTGCCAGACCAAATAAGACCCTAAGGTGTGAACGATGAGTACACCAGTCGCTATGGTCAAAGATATGGTGGTCAAGAACGCTCCTCTGTTGTTTGGACTGGTGTATTCGCCAATCAAAACTGGTCCCAATGTCGCGCTCATTCCCATAGCGAGGCCTTGGAGGAACCTAGCGATGAGGAGGACTGTGATGTTGGAGGCGAATATGATGCAGAACCAGCCGACGATCATTGGTGCTATGCTGACAAGGTTGGCAGTTCGTCTGCCGTATTTCGCCATTATTGTTGGTATTATGAAGTTGCCAGCGACGAGTGCGAAGCCCAGGATTGAGGCTGTAAATTAAAAAAATACATTTTATTTTTTATTAATACGAAACAGAATTCGAAATACACGAACCTACATTTCTTCAACTTAAAACCAACTCAAGGCACTATCAATAAAGCCATTATTATAATTATGGTTTATTTATAACATCTGTTACACTTAATTTGCTTCTGTTTTTTCTCCAGCCCGTAATAACCAACAGCTGGGCATGGACCGTCCTTTTATAAAATAAGGATGACAAACAAGCACACAGTCCACCTGATGGTATGTAGACGTCTTGGCCTATAATCATCTACATTTATCCTTAATTAAGAATCAAAATGCAGAACGTAATGGAATACCTAATTTCCAGTAAAATTGGTCTCTAGTTTTTTACACTCACTAAACGAAACACAGCAGCTTTAAGCTGCTATTTTACGCTGGTATTCTGTGAAAGTGTGGTTCTAACCCGGTCGAGCCGACCCATTCGTGCTCCAGCCATATTATAGCTGCAGCGTGACTCTACCACGTGACTTCGGCGCAAGAGAATCCATTACCACATTTTGGTCTGTAAATTGGACCGCTTCGATATTTCGTCAAAATTCAAACGGTCAAATATGACCACCCACAGCAATTTAATCCATAAAAACTTATATTTAGAGACTACTATTCTATGAAGAAGTGTCGCATTATATAATCAATATAAAATACTCTATCCACTAGTGCAATAAAAAACTGTTATCCTATGAATAATTTATATATAATCTACGTTCATTTGGTACGTCATTTTCGCATGAATGTTATTGTGTTGATTTTTGGATTTTTCTAGTATTTTGTTAGTGTTTTACTATAGTGTTTTATTATAAAATTGTTATAAAGATTTTTTGTGTGAATATAATTTATCTTTTTACGTAAATAATTTCGAGTAATATATAGAAATAATTGTGATTTTCACGCTGCCGACATCCGCTTGGTATATATATTTTTTTTGTTATCAAAATAAAATAAAATCTTTGTGTAATGAAGTAAAACCTTACTTTTGTTTTGACCACAAGATAGAAAATTATGTATAAATTTTATAATGCCAAACTTCTTCATAGAAATATAGTCTCTAAATATAAGTTTTAAAGGTTTTAAGTGCTGTGGGGGGTGCGTTCGCATGCGACCGCCCGGTATTTGCCAGGCGCATGCGACTGCATGGGAATTTTATAGGGATTGAAGAGTTAATTAAACTCATAATAAGTGGCTACTGCGTGTTTGAGTCCTCGAACCTTCTACGCTGCCCATCGCCCATATCTATTGGAAACCATAAGAGTTTACTGGCAGGTGCCCATTATCGCCTCTTACGGCGCCCACGGAACAATATATTCAATTCAATTCAATTAAAATCAATTCATTTTCAATTCTTGAGTATATATCTTAATTATAAAAGAAGCTCAAAACAAGGACCTTGCAAGGGCACTGCACATGTTTACAATTAGTAACATTATTATCGTATCTTATCTACCATGGGGAGTGTTCTGGGGAATTGTTCGGATTAGTTTCAGCCGCCAAATTTCACGAACGCACATCGCGTCAAAATTTCCGATACCATCCTAACAATCTGGATGCTTGGCAGTCTACTACTGTATGTTTTACTAGGAGTTTTCTTCCTCGTACAACTTCTCTGGTGAATTGTTTACCACCGGCGACTTTTCCGGACCGATACGATTTAGGGACCTTCAAGAAAAGAGCTTACTCCGTTCTAAAAGGCCGGCAACGCATCTGCTATTCCCCTATTGTTGCGGTTGATCATGGGCGGCGGTAGTCACTTACGATCAGGTGAGCCGCCTGCTCGTTTACCCCCTCTTCTATAAAAAAATAATATTATTATATTTAGTACTTGGCTTACGTGGTAGAGCCATGCTGCAGCTATATTGTGGTTGCCGCACGAATGGATCGGTTCGACCGGGGTAGGACCTCGCTCTCACTGAATACCAGCGTAAAATAGCAGCTTAATGTTGCTGTGTTTCGTATGGTGAGTGTAGAGAACCGGAGACTCTCTTAACTGGAAACTACGCGTTCCATCTTAGTCCTCAGGGCTGGCAACGCATCTGCTTTTTGATTTTTAATTGATGATAAATGTAGATGTCTATGAGCCACAGCATCAATTTACCATCAGGTGGACTGTATGCTCGTTTGTCACCCTTATTCTATAAAAAAAATAGTATTTACATAATGGTCTTATTTATACAATTACGATTATATTTTCAAAAACGTTTAAATTTATCTAAATAAGACATCATTAAAACATGTTATTTATTAATATTTCCTACTGAATCACATAAAAACTCCCTTTCGGTGATGGTAAGTGGATGCTGTGGCTTGTAGACATATATACATTTATCTTCATCAAAAGGAGTTGTCATCCCTGAGAAAGCCTCGTTTCGCCAGTCGAGCCCATCCACATAGCTACAATACGGCTTCAATATAGCTACAATAGCAATACAATACAACCGAAGGGGCCAGCAGCTGGCCGACTTTATGGAGAAAGAGGGACTCTTTATGATGAACTATTTCTTCCAGAAGCGGCCCCACAGGAAGTGGACCTGGTCGAGCCCCGACGGTTCGACAAAAAATGAGATTGACTTCATTATAATGACCAGATGCCAACTGTTTAGTGATGTCTCAGTGATCGCAAGGGTGAAAACTGGCAGCGATCACCGAATGGTTAGAGGCACACTGAACCTAAACGTTAAGTTGGAGAGGTCTCGTCTAATGAAGTCAACGCTCCGTCCCCCTCGTGCTCTAATCCAGAATCCCGAAAACTTTCAGCTCGAGTTACACAACCGCTTTCAGTGCCCACAAGATTGCAATGCAGTGGACGATATGAATGACAAGCTCGTGGAAACTGTCCATGCGGTCGGAGCTAAGTTCTGCAAGACCCACCGCAGAAGAACACAAAAACTCTCCGATCACACTCTTAATCTCATGGCTGTTAGACGGGAGATGAGGCTGCAATCGTCAACAGATTTGACAGCATACAGGCAACTGAACAGACAGATCTCCAAATGCATGCGGCGAGACTTACGCAACTTTAATACTGCTCGTATTAAAGATGCGATCGAGCGGAACCAGGGCTCCAAAGTCTTTGCCAGAGATCTGTCTGCCAGAAAGAGCCAACTGTCAAAGCTGAAGACTGAATGTGGCAGCATCGTTTCCGGGACACCTGAGATGTTGAGTGAGATTGAGAGGTTCTATGGGCAGCTGTACACATCATCGTTGGAGCCACACACAAGTGTGAGTAACGATCCAAGAGCAAGTCTTATCCGACACTATTCCGATGATATCCCGGACGTCAGTCTAAGCGAGATTAGAATGGCTCTCCAGCACCTTAAAAACGGCAGGGCCCCAGGCGAGGATGGAATTATAGCGGAGCTTCTGAAAGCGGGTGGAACACCGGTACTGGAAGTCCTTCAGAAGCTCTTCAATTCCGTCCTCCATGGTGGCACTACTCCAGAGGCGTGGAGCAGAAGTGCGGTAGTCTTGTTCTTTAAGAAATGCGACAACGCTCTCTTGAAGAACTACAGACCGATTTCCCTTCTGATCCGCGTCTACGTGCTGTTTTCGAGAGTCATTACGAATCGTCTCGCACGCAGACTCGACGACTTCCAGCCTCCCGAACAAGCCGGTTTCCGAAAAGGCTTCAGTACCATAGACCACATACATACCCTGCGGCAGATTGTACAGAAGACTGAAGAGTACAATTTGCCACTTTGCCTGGCGTATGTGGACTATGAGAAAGCCTTTGATTCCGTCGAAATTTGGGCGGTGCTGCAGTCCCTTCAGCGGTACCAAGTTGACTGTCGGTATATCGAAGTGCTGAAGTGTTTGTACAGTAGGGCTACGATGGCTATCCGAGTACAGAACCAGAGCTCGAAACCTATCCAACTGCAGAGAGGTGTAAGACAGGGTGACGTTATATCCCCGAAACTCTTCACCGCTGCTTTGGAAGACGTTTTCAAGCTACTGGACTGGAAAGGATACGGTATTAACATCAATGGCGAGTACATCACTCACCTTCGATTTGCCGACGATATAGTCCTTATGGCAGAATCGCTGGAGGACTTAAGCACTATGCTCAATGACCTCAATAGTGCCTCCCAACGGATAGGTCTTAAGATGAACATGGACAAAACAAAGATCATGTTTAATGTCCATGTCACACCTATGCCAGTAGTTGTTGGGAGCACTATGCTCGAAGTTGTTGACGAGTATGTTTACCTGGGACAAATAGTCCGACTAGGTAAGTCCAACTTCGACCGAGAGGTCAATCGACGGATTCAACTCGGCTGGGCAGCGTTCGGGAAATTACTACATATCTTCTCGTCAGGTATACCTCAATCTCTAAAAACTAAATTGTACAACCAGTGCGTTTTGCCAGTGATGACTTACGGATCTGAGACGTGGTCCTTCACTGCTGGCCGTATGAGGACGCTCAAAGTCGCTCAGCGAGCTATGGAGAGGGCTGTGCTCGGAGTTTCTCTGCGTGATAGACTCAGAAATGAGGATATCCGCAGTAAAACGAGAGTGACCGACATAGCCCAACGGATTAGTAAGCTGAAGTGGCAATGGGCCGGCCATATAGCTCGAAGAACCGATAACCGATGGGGAAGAAAGGTTCTCGAGTGGCAGCCTCGTACCGGTAGGCGTAGTGTAGGGCGACCCCCACTAGATGGAGTGACGACCTGGTAAGATATGCAGGAAGTCGATGGATGCAGGTGGCTCAGGACCGTGGTTTGTGGCATTACTTGGGGGAGGCCTATGTTCAGCAGTGGACTTGTGAAGGGCTGTAATGATGATGATGATGAATGATAGCTACAATATAGCTCGATGCCGAAAGTAAACGCATGATTAAATTCTTGTCGGGTTGTGCGAATGGTGTAATGTTGAAATACGGTGGAACTTACGCTGGCGTTAGAGGCTGCCTAGAATCATGCCGAAGTGAGTGGTTCTATCATTTTTTTATAGAATAAGGATGACAAACGAGCAGCCACCTGATGGTAAGTAGATGTTGTGGCCCATTGACATCTACATTTATCCTCGATTAAAGATCAAAACGCAGATGCGTTGTCACCCCAGAGAACTAAGATGGAATTTCTCGTTCCCAGTAAAAAAAGGTCTCCGGATCTCTACACTCACCATACGAAACACAGCAGTATTAAGCTGCTATTTTACGCTGGTATTCTATGAGAGCGTGGTCCTTCTCCGGTCGAGCCAACCCATTGACATTCAGCAAACTGGTGCCAGTTCAAATAATATAACTGTGACAAACAGTTAAAGAGGGCATGTTAAAATAATGTGTATACAAGTGCGCGGTAGAGGTGACCGCCATAAGTATTTGAATGCAATTTTCATTTGTACGACATTGAATTGGCAGCTCAATGTAACAAACCGTACTTACCACGTAACCGTAGTACGAACGGGTCGGCTATATCTGGAAGCAACACGCTCTTATATACGTGAAATAACAGTTCAGTGCTGCTGTGTTTCCTATGGTGAGTGTAGTGAACTAGAGAGTTTTTGTACTGGAAACGAGAAATTCCATCTAAGTCCTCAGGGGTTACAACGCATCTGCATTTCGATTCTTAATCGAGGATAAATGTAGATGTCTATAGGTCACAGCATCCACCTACCATTGGGTGGGCTGTCTGCTCCTTTATAACCAAACTCGTTTGTCACAAAATAAGTGACCATGGGCAGTAACCACTTACAATCAATTTTTCGTTTGTTACCTCAGTTTTGTAAAAAAACTTACCTATCCAAGAGCCTGATGAATCATCGATGGGTATGATGGAGTCGGGTTGACGTAATTGTGGTAGTAGAATAGCAGCGAAGCCCATCACCAGACCGTGGCCAGCCATGTTGAGCGACACGCCCAGAGTCACGAAGCACTGGAAATGACAAGTGGTAAAATTAATAATTTTGTACAACCAACTTGAATATTAAATAAAATGAACATCATCAATGTAGTCGAAGTCAATTAAATACGCATTATTAACCCTTAACTTGGTAACGTATCTAATAATGCACATATGTTAAAAAAAATTTTTGAAATATTTTAGCAGAGTTAGGCTAAAATTATATTTTATTTAGTTTATGAAATCCTTCTATTCGGCAGTAAAAATATTATTTATTACGTCTGGCTACATTTGAATTAAGTAGATCGCAAAATGGTGAAGCATGCGCGTGCGTCTTCGAGTTATATTGTAAGAATCGATTAAAATCCTATCAAAGTGTTGTTGTTACGACAGATATATGTGACAATTATGTAATTGATGTATATTGTGTTGGTAATGCAAAAGATTTTGATCGAAAAGTCTACAAATGCTCATCGCCAAGATCCTGTACTATGACCTGACTTTTGAAGTGTGCACTATAGGACACATTGCCAAACTTACAGCACTAGAGAGTACATACTGTGAGCATTTTCAGATTAATTACCAAGTACGAAACGTTATTGAAATCGAATTTATGGTGTCTAATGTACATAATGCTTTGTTTACTTTTCAGGCCTGTACGAAACCTACAAAGTAAAGACGACTACTGGGAGATATTAGTATCGGCCGAAAATGCGACGGTTTGTTGAGACGAGTTTGTTGAGTAATTTGTTTACGTCCAGTGTTGTTGCTTCTCCAAACAATGTAATATTACCAGCGACACCTTCACCGATCTCTTCAATAGCTAATAGCTCTACATATATATTATTCTTTCCATTACCATCAAATGCTACTCGATCCAGAAAAAGAGATTACCTAGTCAAAAACACTGTAGTTAAAAAAATCCTGAAGTTAAGTGCATAATTGCAAGATTTAAGTACACTGCTGAAATCAGTGATAAAATATTCACCGAACCTTCTGAATTAAAATCATCGTTAGAATATGACAAACTATTTTTTCAGAGGATATATTTGAATTGATAGTTCGAGAAAGTAATTTATATCTTATGGAAATAAAGGGCAAGTCCATGAATTTGACTTTGGATGAAGTAAATGATTTTATTGCTATTAATATGGTCGTGGGTGTCGTGTACGTTTGCTAGCTTGTACGGATTATTGGTCTAACGCTCTCAGATACAGAAAAATAGCAGACATCATGACACTGAGAAGATTTCAACTGATCCGACGATATTTGCATTTTGTGGAGGCTTTAGGTGACGATGGGGATCGTTATTACAAAATAAGACCTGTGTTAGAAGAAATTCGCCAAAACTTCATAAATAGTGAAGAGGATGACCGGTTCAGTGTGGACGAAATGATGGTGCCGTATAAAGGTACGAGAGCGGGTACCCGCAAACAGTACATCAAAAATAAGCCTCGAAAATGGGGATTTAAAATATTCGTTACAGCAGGAATATCTGGAATGGTGTATGATTTTTTGCTTTATTGGGGAGAAGACACTTTTCGATTTCATCAATTCAATGAAGAAGAAAACAGTATGGGATTGGAAGCTCAAGTTGTCATAGCTTTGAGCAAAACAATCAAAGAGCCTGCTTGTTAAGCGATTTATTTTGATGATTTTTTTACATCTATAGAATTAGTTTATCACCTGAGAAATGAGTACGGAATATTCTCCTTGGAAACAGTAAGACTAAATCGTTTGCATGGAGAAGACAAAAAGCTTCCTCCTGATAAAATTTTGGAAAAACGAGGCCGCAGAGCTTTTTCGCAAATTACTTCAAATGAAATAAAAGTAAGTAAAGTTTTAGACTATGCAAATAGTTGTAGCCACTTACATTTTTTTATTTTAATGTGTCTTTTTGTAATTTGAATTATGTAATATTGTTGTCATATTGTTACGAGCTTAGGGTTCGTGACAATAAAAATTGCCGATAAAATTACCTAAATTAACACTTTAATTTACTTTACACAAATTAAAACTAAAAACACTAATAATTAAACACACTAATTCACTTAATTCCGCTCCGAAGCTTCGCTTGTGTCGCCGAGTTCAACTCTGCCCGATCGCATCTTGCAGCGCCTATATATTTAAATTAGCAAAGAAATATCCAGAATGTTCAAGTAAACACGCGCAAGGTACCGAGCGTTCGAGTTTCGACTAGGCGCTGTCGGTTGAGTGATTTGTGATGTCATTTTCTCAATGCTCCCCCTCGCTCTCGTTCCTGACACTAGATGGCGCTAGTGTATCGTCGACTTGAGCGCGTAACACTGCCCCCTCCTAAGACATGCCCGTCCCGAGCATTATCGGCCCCATAATAACGCGCCAAGCGATCCACATGGACGATCTTAGGAGTCCCTCTTGCGCCTTTCTGTAACGGCTCCGCAATGTCAAGGGCTGTTCTATCCCGTGGTGCACCAACATTGTACTATTTCGGTGCTCCTCTACTACGTGTCTGAGGTCCCCGCACGGCCGCACAACTTGTACATGTACGACACCAATCCTCGACATCGTCACGATAATGGACCCAGTAAAACTGTTCTCGGACCTTCAGTAGAGTTCGTTTATCTCCCAGATGGACTCTTGAACGACCATTATGGTACAGCTGTAGAACATTCGGCACTTTAGCTTTAGGGACAACCATTTGCAAACGACAGCTGTCCCTTCGAGCATTGTCCCATTTACGGCACAGGACTCCATCCTGAATCAGCAAGCTGTCCCATTGGACCCAATAGCTTTTCGTGGTTGAACTCATCGCTGAGACGTCCCTCCACTTAGGCTTGGTAGCACGGGCCTTCATCCATCCCAGAATCGGCTTGATGTCCGGATCTTCCTGCTGTGCATGTCGTAGGCTGTCCTTCCACCCGTTGCTGAGGTGGTCTGTCCTGTGCATCCTCACGGATACCACTTCTTTACTCTCTTGCCTACTACAATGGTTGCAATCTTCAGGACAAGGTCTTCTTGTCAATGCATCTGCGTTGCCGTGAGATTTCCCGCTGCAGTGTCTGATAGTAAAGTCGTATTCCTGCTGCTGCCGGGCGGTGCTGTTAGCCGCACTTCCTTTCTGAGACCGTTCACCTTCCCTTCCTAGGGTGTGCTTAGGGCAGCTGGACCGAAGATGGCCCCTTTCCCCACAGCCATAGCACCTAGGGCTGTATCTTTTATTGTGGTCGCGAACCGTAACTGCTGTAACCTCCCTAGCGTGAGGTGAACGATGATCCTGTCGCCGCCAGGCAGTGCCGTTAGCTGTACTACCCTCTCGAGATCGATCAACTCTCCTTTCCACGGTTAGTTTAGGGCAGCTGGATCGAAGATGGCCCTTCTCCCCACAGCCATAGCACCTAGGGCTGTATCCTTTGCTGCGGTCACGGACTGTAGCTGCTGCAACCTCCCTGACGCGATGGGAACAATGATCCTGCCGCACGGCTTCCACCTCCAGTGCATGGGCCAAGGCGTTCTTAAGCGTCTCGTGGTGCCCGAGCCTCACAGCAGCTCTGACTTCCAGGTCACGGATGCCGTCGATGAATGTCTGCACCAGGTTCCCTTCAATGAGCGCAGGTACAGACCGGTATGCTTTTCGCACCAGCTTCTCCACCTCTAGAGCCCACTGCTGCAGGTTTTCGTTGATGCGCTGCACGCGATCTTTAAGCTGCGCACGAAAGACGTGTTCCATGTGAGCGTCGCCATATCTCACCTCCAATGCCTCAAGGAGTTTCTCATAAGTCACTTCCTCACCGAGAGCTTCCAGAACTGTTAAGGCCTGGTCGCGCAGGCCTAGTGTGAGAGCAGTCATGGCCTGATTTTTATTCCAGCCGTTCGCCTTCATAACAGCTTCGAACTGGATTTTATAGGCTGACCAGGAAGAGGTACCGTCGAACGGTGGCACCTTGAACCCACGTAGCGAAGGTGTTGTAGCTACTACAGGAGCTGTAGCTCCATCTCCAAGTTTGAGTTCGTCCAGTGATTTCTTCATGTCAGCCATTACGTTGTCAACCCGATTGTTTACTTGGTCGATTCGGGTTTCAGCTTTCTCGATTCGGTTTTCAGCTTTCGCTATTTGGGTTTCAGCTTCCGACAGGCGTTTGTCATGCTGAGCAACCCTATCCTTCACCTCCTTTATCTCCTTCCCGAAGGTAGCTTGAAGGTCCTTCATGAGGAGCATCTATTCCTCCTGTCGGCGGGCCTGTTCCTCTTGTCCGCTCTGCAGCTGCTCTTTCAACTGACGGACCTGTTCCTGCAGCATCACCATCAGAGCACCTAAGTCAGGTGCTGCAGATGTAGGAGCTACCGACGGGCCTGCAGCCGGTGGCTGGCCCTCCGACGTCTGCGGCGTTGCACCAGCAAATCTTCGTTGGTCCGTCTCCTGCTGGCGTTGACTTCGGGTACGGACACCCTCCGTTTCCTCCTTAGGTAAAATCGGCATGATTTTATCCCACTTCTGACACCAATTGTTACGAGCTTAGGGTTCGTGACAATAAAAATTGCCGATAAAATTACCTAAATTAACACTTTAATTTACTTTACACAAATTAAAACTAAAAACACTAATAATTAAACACACTAATTCACTTAATTCCGCTCCGAAGCTTCGCTTGTGTCGCCGAGTTCAACTCTGCCCGATCGCATCTTGCAGCGCCTATATATTTAAATTAGCAAAGAAATATCCAGAATGTTCAAGTAAACACGCGCAAGGTACCGAGCGTTCGAGTTTCGACTAGGCGCTGTCGGTTGAGTGATTTGTGATGTCATTTTCTCAATGCTCCCCTCGCTCTCGTTCCTGACACTAGATGGCGCTAGTGTATCGTCGACTTGAGCGCATAACAATATTATATCGCTTTATTATTTTTATTTTTTAATTATCTTTAGGTATGTGATAACTGTGTGACTGTGGTGGTCAAAAAATAATTATAATAAAGTAGTTGAAGTTCTGTTCCTACTATAAGTTGAAGACTGTGATTTTAAATATGATGATAAAGATATTATTATATGTTTAGAGC